GTTTTTTTTTTTTTTTTTTTTTGGCACCGGGGATCGAACTCAGGACCCTGTGCTAGTGAGGCAGGCACAGTGCTACTGAACTAAATCCCCTCCCACTTATTAATATAATTATTGTATCACAATGTGTAAATCTGCATTGAAAGGAGTGTCTCAGATTTCTTTTCTTATACAACTTTTAATTTCCCCTTGAATTGATTTTCTAGTTGCTTATTCATCTCTGAATTCACTGTTTTGTGTTTTTTTTGTTTTGTTTTGTTTTTTGTTTTTTGAGACAGGGTCTCGCTATGTAGTTCAGACTGCCCTGGAACTCACTGTGTAGCCCAGGTTGGTCTCGAACTCACAGCGATCCTCCTGCCTCAGCCTCCTGAGTGCTGGGATTACAGGTGTGCGCCACCATACCTGGCTGAATTCACTGTTGAAAATGTAACTCTAAGCTGGTTGTAGTGGCACCGGCCTGTAATCCCAGCTACTTGGGAGGCTGAGGCAGGATTGTAGGTCTGAGGCCAGCCTGACAATTTAGTGAGACCCTGTCACAAAATAAAAAATAAAAAGAGCAATCTGCTTAAACATTTTTTAAAAAGTCTTTTTCTTGTGTGAATGTCAAATTTGGGGATGATGGATCAGGGATTTAGCTCAGTGGTGCCACTGCCTGCCTTGCAAGCGCAAGGTGCCGAGTTTGATCCCTGATACCCTCCAAAAAAAAAAAAAAATTACAAATCTGGGGATGAAGACACTGGTAATGTTTTTACCATCCCGCTTTCCCACTGGTTGGCGCTCGGCAGCAGCAATGACCATGTTTCTGATCACACCTCATAAAGACTGCTTCACAAAGTGACAAGAACGCTGGGCTGTGTTCGGAGCAGGCGGGAGTATTCTGAGGGAGACTAAAGGCAGTGTGTCTTTTCCTGTCAGAAATTTAAAATATCTCAACATTCCCTGTAGTTTTCACCACCCTTTAGTTTGAAGACTGAGGCTCTTGGAAGGGGGGCCCCGGCTGTTGGCGGGTGGGTGCAGGGTGCAGGGAGGGCCAGGCGCTGTTTCGGCCACGTCCGACCACGCCTCAGGGCTTCTGGGCTTGCGTCTCAGCGGGTCGTTCCTCTAGAGAGAAAATACACCCTCTGATCCGTCACTGTCGGAAATGCAGCTCTTCGTTTTCACTGCATCTCACTTAGTTGTGCCTGAATGCAGGGTGACTTTACTTTCCTCCGTGGGCTGGCGTCTGAAGGGCAGTTCGCTGCATTTACTAGGGGCATCAGGCTGCTGTTTCTGCCTCCCTTCACTCTCATCTTCAAGGGTTCCTAGTGCCCCAGGGCCTTTGTGGGTTCTACAGTGTGGGACAGTTTATCTTTTATCCGTAAGTATTTAAATTTTAATTTTCTTTTCTCCGCCAAGGTAATCATCTCCAGTCCACATGGGCCTCGGAAGGCACCCCGATAATGGCATTCTCTCTTCAAGGGTCCCCAGTCGGTTGAGAAATAACGTAAACGCAAGCGTGGAGGTCAGTGTCACCTTTCTTGCGGTTGGAGGCCACATGGAGGATGTGGTATAGTACGGAAGTCAGTGCACTTCCTCACTGAACCCCAGAGTCAGGCAGCTCTGGGCTGGGGAAGACGTCGGGGTGGAGGTGCAGAGCAGGATGGTTTTGGGGCCCAGCTTCCCCCCGTGAGCCGAGGATGGCGCAGACAGGAGCATCCCCCTTAGCGGAAGAACAAAGTGCTAAAAGAGGCCCAGGGCCACCAAATGAGCTCTCTTGAGAAGCAGACATGGGGTCGGAGGGAGGCGCATCTCTGAACTTCGTTGTCCATTTGTTTTTCAGTTGCTAACATTTTGTTGAGTTTTCTTCTCAGTTGTCTTCTTGCTTGATTCCTTTGTCCTTTTGCATTGGGATCTCATTCTTTTGAAGTCATTTTAGTAAGGTTTGGAAAGAAAGTTAAATATGTATATATTAAATTCTCCATGTTTTTACCAGGACATTTCAAGTTATTTTTTGAAAGTAGCCTTGTTACCAAAGATACAAATTTGTTTTCTGGCAAATATTTATCATCTGCGCTACTAGAGAAACACAGTGTCTCAATAATTCTTAGAGAGCAAAATCTTTCTTTCTTTTTTCTTTTTTTGTACCAGGTATTGAACTCAGGACATTATGTGTGCAAAGCAGGTGGCGGCACCACTGAGCTAAATCCCCTGCCCAAGAGCAAAATCTTTAAATCATTTCTCTTTGATACAGCAATATGGCTTATTTCAAGATGACATTTTAATTTTGTCTTTGGCTCATGTTAAAAATAGTTTACACTCAGCATAGAGGGATGATTCAAACTGGGAAGGCTCAACTAGAATTTATGATTTTTTTCTTTTCTTTTTGGTTTTGTTGACACGGGGTCTTGCTATCCAGGCTGGCCTTTAACTCACTATGTTGCCCAGGCTGCCCTCAAAGTCGAGGTGATCCTGCTGCCTCAGCCTCCTGAGTGTTGGGATTACAGATGCGCACCACCAAGCTTCATAGGAATTTACAATTTTTTACAGCAATTCTGCAGATTTGGTATCCGTATGATAATAATTGAGTTTACTGCAACAACAGACACATAGCCTGCCCTCTTCACCAGTTACAGACAGCTGGTACAGAGGAGAGGATTGATTCCACATTAAGAATGAGGCTAGAACATGTAGGGTAGTTCAACCTTTGAACAGTTTTCTAGGTGCCAATCAAAACTTTTTCTCAAAAAAATCTGATAAATATCTTCAATTAAGGCTTATTAGAATAATCAAGGTTACTTATTTGTTATCTTGGAGTTTTCTGTATCTCAACAGAGGTTATATGTGATCAAATAACCATATGTGGCATTTTGAGCATCAGTAGGAACTCAGCATAATATTTTAGGAAGCAGAAAAAAATATTTTAGGGAGCAAATGTTTTGCGCATTCATGAAGGAGTTAAACAGAATTCTAGTAGTCATTTCTGGAAAAAAGATTTGATCTTTGCTTAAAGAAAATGGATTTGAAATTAATCTTTATAAGTTACTTTATAAGTTAGAACCTCACTATACTCCTGTTTTAGTGATTCATTATTGTTTTAATTATCTGTTGCTAACAAACTACCTCAAAACTAACTAATTTAAAGCAACTACTACACTGTAATTACTCAAGATTCTAAAATTTGGCCCAGTACTCAGGAGGCTGAAGCAAGAAGATCACCACGAGTTTGAGGCCAGCCTGGGCTACACGGTGATTTCAAGGCCAGCCTGCACTGCACAGTGAGACTGTCTCAAAAATAAAACAATCGTGCTGGGCATGATAGAATAGCCCATGTCTACTCCCATGGTATTGGCTGGGGTGAAGGATTCAACATGGCTTTACTGATATAACTGGGCCTGTCTCAAGGTGGCTGGGGCAGCTGGGAGTGCTCTCTCTCTCTTTCATTTATGTAACCAGGCTGGCCTTGAACTTGAGGTGATCCTCCTGCCTTAGCCTCCCAAGTGCTGGGATTACAGGCGTGCGCCACTACACTTGGCAGCTGGGAGATTTCTGGACTCTTTCTTCATAATCTTTTATTTTTTTTCCCTCCCTCACAGTGTGGGGATTGAAATCAGGACCTTGTGTTTGTAAGGCAAGTGGTGGCACCAATGAGCTAAATCCCAGGCCCTTTTTCTTCACAGTCTTTCCTGCTCCAGCATCCCTGTCTCTATAATAAAAGATACAATAGCCTCCCTCTCCAGTAGGATGGTTGGATCTCTTTATATGAGAATCGGCTCCTAAGAGAGCAAAGTAGAAAGTAGAAAGTAACAGCCTCTCTCAAGGACCTGGGTCCAGATCCAACACAGTGCTATTTTTATCCCATTCTATTCGTGAATGTAAATTCAAAGAGAGGAGAAATAGACTTCATCTTTTGACAAGAGGAGGGCCATATGTGCACAGGGAGGGGAGAAATTGTTGGTAGCATCTTTGAAGACAGTTTACCTCACCACTTACGTTCAACAGAGTTGTTATTTCCTTTGAAACTCACTTTATTTTTTTAAAAAATATTTTTTGAGACTGTCTCACTATGTGGCCCAGGCTGGCCTTGAACTCACAACTATCCTCCTACCTCAGCCTGCCGGAGTGTGCCACCAGGCCCAGATGTAACTCACTTTAGATAGATATAAATACAGATATATAGACATATATCCTACTAGCCCTGAGAACCTATACAAATTAAAAAAGAAAAAACAACTCTACCTTGTCTTATATGGCGTTGCCCTGAGAAATTTCCAAGGGTTATGAGCACAATGGAGAACTAGAATTATTGGTGTTCACTGAGTATTGATTACCTCTTCTAGAGCCAAGGAGAGCAGTAGTGATCCTGGTTTTCTCAGAAGATTTCTCAGAAGTAAAGTGAGAAAAATTTCTGATGTTTCCAAATCAGCCTGAACTCTGGAGAAAATGAATTAGTTGTCTGGTTTAACTTTATCTTGAGACCACAAATTAACTACAATGGACCCTTCAGTTATGACCAGCCTGACATATGAACAAATTGGGTTACAACTAGAATTTTAGGGGTTTTTTTGTTTTGTGTTTTTTTGGTATCAGGGATCGAACTCAGGTCCTTGCTCTTGCAAGGCAGGCGGCGGAACCACTGAGCTAAATCCACAGCCCTTAGAATTTTAGTTTTAACTTATGACCAAAATCTTGAGTTACAACTCCAATGCCAGCTGCTTGGGCTTCCAAATGGTCTCAGATACAGATTTAACCCTTAAAGAGTTCTGGAAGGAATATTACAACATCATTTCCTGTGGGGGGTTAATTGAGAAATCCTGGGCCAATGTCTCTAGGAAGACTGAGCTCTGCCTGTATACAAGAGAGAGACTTTTTGAGGACTTGTATAGAGGAGCCTGAGCTTTCAATTGACCAACTTGAGTTACAACCAGTCCTTGAGAACAAATGATTTTGTAAGTCAAGAGTCCACTGTAGTTTGGAAAAGGGAAAGTTATAAAGAGAAAGAGATTGCAGGCAGAAGATGGAAAGGGCTACCACGTTCACAGCACTTCTATGCTAGTCCAGAGAGTAACCGATTTATGGAATCCACCACTCTGGCTTAAGAGCATGAGTTCTAAATCATCATAGTTGGGGTTAAATTTCAGTTGTTCATTACTTGTGCCGTCTTGGATTGGTAAATTAGTTAAAGTTAATTGGGAAGATGTGGACTGTTGAGCTGTAGAGAAACAGCCTGTGAGATTTGACATCTAGGTACTGGAATATACTAATATAAGGAAGAGAAATAGGAGGGAGGAAGGCCCTGGGACCCAGCAAGGATATGAAGTGAGAATTGAGGGCCACAGACAGAGTGAGGAGAGAGACTTCAACAAAGAAGAAGGAGGTGGCAAGTGGCACTTTCTCCCTGAGCCTTGACTCACAGTGAGGGGAAGGTGGGTCGAACCTGCAGACAGAGTGTGACTACTGGTGACCCCAAAGGCCTCCAAGGAGAGATGCACCAGTGGAATAGAGCAGTGGATGCAGTGGATTGCAGTGGCTGGTTAGTTATTTAGATTCAAATGTCCCCCAGGAGAGGGTGATCGGCCAGTCACCATCTTGGGGAAGGCCCAACTGAGCTTGGAACTCAGAGCAGCTGCAGGATGGGCTCAGGGTGAGGCAGAACTGAGTTCAAGTTGGCAGGAGGTCAAGGAGCCAAGTTCAAGTCCGAGTCAGCTGAGTTCAAGCCAGAAGCAGGAACAGAGTGCTGCAGGCTGAACAAATCTGATTCTAGCCTTACAGCCAGAAATCAGCAAAAGCTTCAGAACTAAAGGTGCAATCTTGCTGGGATTGTCCAATATCCTGCTGTAAATCTCTGGCTGCCTTGTTGGGATTAATAAACACGGGTCTGGGCTCTTGTCTGTCCAACTTGTCTAGCAGTGACAGCAGAGATACACCTTGAAGTGGTAGGTGTTTTCTTCTTCTTTTGTTTTATTTCCTTTTCTTGTTTTTGGTTTTGTTTTTTCTTGTTTGTTCTTGTTTTCATATAAGTGTGAACATTGCTTCCAGTTTTTTTGCTGTTGTCCTGTTCTGTTTGTGTTTTAATTTTTTCCTTCTTTCCCTTCTGTCTTCTTCACCTATTTCCCAAAGTTTACATCTTCCTTTGTGCTTCAGCCTTCCTTCTAATCTCTTCCTCTTCTTTTATTTCTCTACTTTTTCCCCTAAGCTCTTTTACATTTTTACCCAAGGGTAAAATTGTCATACTGAAGGAATATTTACTACATACAATTTTCTGATTTGTTTTAGATTTTGTTATATAAACACAAATCTATTTCATATGGTTAAAGGTAGAAAATAATAGTTATCACAGTTCATCATTTTGTAGACTGTGTTTAATGTCATTACTACTAATTGTACTACTTTAGCCAAGGCATTATAATTGTTCAATCCATTGTTCTTAGTATGCCAAGACTGAGACTGCCTAAGAGTCATAAACAATATTGTAGGTCAGTACCAAAAAACTAGGGGTTAGGCCAAATAGGTAGCGACCTCTTA